CAAGTGACAGCAGTAACATAAGTTTTATGGTACTGATACTTGCCTGATATTATACCAAGAATGCTCTTCTTATCTTTGGTAGGAAAGTTAAACAAAATTGTTTTGATGGAATAAACAAAAAAGATAATTACTTCATATTCCTAAGTATAATTGGAACTTCTTTCTGTTAGATATACAAGACTGTTTTACTTAAAGTTAATATGAGAATAATGATAGTTATAAAGTGCGAGTGTTAAATTTAGTATTTTTAGAAGCAATAATTTATCACAGACTTGTTTATGTTACTGCTTACGAAACATTTGTTGTGAATTGATGTCACTTATCTCAAACCTTCAGAAATTTTTTTGCTGTTTTAAGTGTGTATTGTTACATTATAATGTCTCATAGTTTGTAGAAAGTTTTAGGCCTCAGTTGGGCAATATATATATATTTTGAGAGGGGGGGGGGCAACCAAGTTAGTATAAGTAAGTAATTTAGTGAAATTGAAAGCAGAAGTGAAGTTAGACTATGTGATTGTGAGTTTAGCAAAAAAAAATAGCTTATAGTGGCAATTTCTAAAGTGAATTTCACAGCTTGTATTGTATTAACAGAAATAGAAAAGAATAATTTGTCTTGTCAAAGGGTGTTCCAAAGTAATTGAACCCGACTTTGTGGACTTTGCCAAAGAAAGAGACAATTATCTAAAGCTCTGGATACAACTGTGATAACCAATAGTGTAATGAAATTTTCTGTATACATTTAACTTGTTTTGAATACATTAATTTAAAACAAGTAGATTGCGTGCTGTCTGTTTATTGTTGAAATTTATCACGAACAAGTCAAGTCACAGACACCTCCTGTAAAGAATAGTGGCACTATTAAAACCTGATGCTTTCTTTGTATGAAAAATCAAATTTTTGAAAAAGTTAAGACAAAGTTTGTTTTACAATAAAACATACTTGCCTTTTTATCCACTTACGGGTCAATGTAGACAATGAAGTTATTTAAAAATTTGCTGTTGTTTTTTATTTAAATATCTCACAGTTATGTGAGCCCTTAGTGGTTTTTATTTGCTGAAAAGAAGCTTTGTTTTAAGTTAGGAGTAGAAATAGAGATATCATTAAAAATTAATCGGAAGAATTGGTTCTCTGTGCAAAATGCAGACCTGTAAGTTTTAGATATGCATTTTAACAAGCTGTTGTTCAGTGCTCACTTCTGTTAATCTTATTTTGAGTGTAGTTCATTGAACTTGTTATTTGTTTCCCTTTAAAATACTGTAACATAATAATGTTAATGTGCTACGCTCGGTTTACAGTCCTCATTACCTCCTTTTTTGACTGATTCTGTTAGCCACGCTTAGTGAAAGCTCTGTAATAGTTTTCCTCTGTCATTTTATTCAATTTGTTGTACAAATTGCATGCATTCCTGTAAAGTGTGCGTGCAATGTCTTTTTTGTTTTAAAATTAAAAATTTATAGTCTAAGTAGCTTTTGAATAAGGTTAGTCATGCAGTCTTCAGCATTATCCATTCTTCTCGTAATGTAAGAGATCTCTGCTTAATTATCTTGAGTAGATCACTGAGAGGAGATTGTGCAGGCATAATCAATTATGTTATTCCCATATGAGTTATGAAGATGAATTCTCCCCTACTACAAGGTTTCCCATTATATTATGTCTAATACAATTCATCATTCTAGAAACTGGTTTAAAAAAAGCCTTGAATTCATAGTTTACACTTTTATCTTCAGAATTTGTGTGGGAATAACATGCATTTATTTCCTCAGTAAATTTATAAGTCTCTTTTTCCATTTTTATTGCCATTTCATAGTAAACATACTTTTTGAAGCCATGTCCTATTTACATCAGAAATTTGTATTGCATTTAAGATATCCTATTAAAAAAAGTGGGAAAATGCAGTATATCTTCTGAATTTTTGAGATGCTTTGGTGTATTAGAATAATTCACTTCATACATCAGCACAAGTCAGGGTGTCATGATGGTTTTAAGTGGTTAATTATTCATAATAACTTGATTTAGAAATGTACTTTGCAAGAACAACAACTCATGAACTTTAAGAAATAAACTAATATCTAAGTTATCAAAACACCTTAAGTTATTTATTAAATCTACTGATAGTGTGATGACTTAGAAAAAAGTAACTTAATGTTCTACACTTCAGAACTTGGACAAGTACATGAATATTATGCAGTAAATGTACATTGCCTGTTTATATGCCCCAGAAATTCAATATAGTGTCTCTTAATAAATAAAAATGTAAAAGAAAAGTAATAACAAATATTTATGTAATTTTAAAGAATGTAAAAGTCAAATGTGCACATACAGTTCGTTTCTCTTGAATTGAAAAATAAACCTACTTGTACGAAAGTTCAGTTTATTTTATCCACATATAAAAATTTATCACTTCATATTTCATTCAGTTTTATTCATTATTTTATATATAAATTTGTAGTAAGTATACAAAACTACTAATACTGGAAATTACAATAGCTCTCCAATTACTCACAATAGCTATTAGAAAAATTCTCTTATGATTTCATAAATCGATTGGGCTTTCAAGGATATAGCTTTAGAAAATCTATGAAGTTAACTTATGTACAGTAACAAGTGCTGTTGCATAAAGAGCTCACACAATTGATAATTAAAGTATAGGAAAATGATGGTGGCCTGTCATGAAATCATAAAAAATCATGGATATCAGGTAGTATGCTTAAATATCACAAAATATCTGCATAGTGTCTTAATAAATAAAAATGTAAACTAGAAAGTAATACAAGATATTTATTTTATGTCTTTACCATGTATTTGTGCTAATGTTTAGCTTGCATATTGAATTTAGATTTTGTTTAATTAGTAAAGTATTGTTGCGTCATCGAGATGACGTGACAATTCTCACGCTCTCTTGTTTCTAGAACTATCCCGTATCTTGGCGAATGCTCTAGTATTTGCTAGATAGGGTAGGCTGGTATATAAAAGAGGGGAATGTAATGTGTGGGGA